TTTTGATGTGAGTTGTATAAGCTGTTTAGTATGTTGATATACCTACCAGTCGTATAATTTACCAATATTTTCTCCCATTTAGTAGGTTGTCTTTTTGTTTTGACAATGGTTTCCTTTGCTATCAAAAGTTTTTAAGTTTAATTAGGTCGCATTTATTTATTTTGCTTTTATTTCCTTTGCTTTAGGAGACAGATCTGAAAAAAATATTGCTGTGATTTATGTCAAAGAGAATTCTGCCTATGTTTTCGTCTAGGAGTTTTATAATATCCAGTCTTACATTTAGGTCTTTAATCCACTTTGAGTTTATTTTTGTACATGGTGTTAGAGAATGATCTAATTTCATTCTTTTACATGCAGCTGTCCAGCTTTCCCAGCACCACTTATTTAAGAGACTGTCTTTTCTCCATGGTATATTTTTGTCTCCTTTGTCATAGTTTAATTGACTGTAAGTGCACAGGTTTATTTCTGGGCTCTTAAAGAAGGTATTTTTGATAGTGTTATTTAGAATATTGAAAATCTGTCCATGTTCTAAATCCAGCAGCAGAATAATAGGTAAGTAAATGTTTTAAATCCTTTAATGGGATATTATGATGATTTTGAAGAATATATGGAAGATAGAATGGAAAACTGTATTTATGGTGTAATTCTAATGATGTGGAAAGACACATGAATGGGGGATCACAAAAAGATAACAACATATTACAAAATCCTGCTCCTCTGGCTCCTCCAGGGACCCAAAAGCCGAAGGGTCTCCAAGGGCCCTCCTGGCGCTGATACTCTGCGGGTCCAAGAATGACAGGCTTTCTTAATCCCCATATAATATCTGTTCAAAGGCATGTTTGCCATTCTGTTTCAGAAGGACAGTATTTCTTTCCAGTTTCCTCACGTAAAATGAGAATAACCTACTCTCCGCCCTCCCAGATGTGGAAGTCTAAAATTTGTGCAAAACAGTCATATTTGTTGGTGTGAACTATTTTATAATTTTTCTGTTCCATGACCTAAAATGATGCTTTGAGCAAAATAATTCTAAATAAATATTGAATGGATGACCTTTGACCCTTTAGTTCCAAATACAGCATCAAAGAAGAAACACCATAGAAGTCATTAACAACTATTATATTACAATTAAAATAATCAATTTTTAGTGTTCTAAATACCATATGCTTTAGACCAGGTAGCTATCATTCTATCATTTTCTTCATTTACAGTTGTTAATTTTGCATTAAAAGAGGCAATGCGGCATAATAGAAAAGCATGGGAAATCCCCCGAAGTACTTGTTCAAATCCCCAAGAATACTTTTTTTTTTAATGGGAGTACTAGGGATTGAACCTAGGACCTCAAGCATGCTAAGCACATGCTCTACCACTGAGCTATACCCTCCCACCACCAAGATTGCTTGTGGTAATGTTTATGGCCTTTATGGAAGGTTGAATAGCTGTGCTTCAATCTCCACAGCAGCAATACTTAACCCCAGTGACTTGTTAAGATGAAAAGGCCCTATACCTGTTTCATATTATACATAAAGTAAATTATTGTTACTTTATTAACATCACCATCACCATCAATAGTATTCAAGTCAGTACAATGAGGTTAGAAAAAATTACTTCATAATCTAGCATTTATATGCATATCTACCAAAATGTGTTTTTTAGGTTGTGAATGATACCTGCTATGCCATAATTGATGAGCAATTTTTTCTTTTTTTAAAAAAATCATTTTTGTTTTTTTCTTCCAGTTTTGCTGAGATGTAATTGATGTACAGCACTGTACACTTTTTTGGGAGGGGAGGTAATTAGATTTTATTTATTTTTTAATGGAGTTACTAGGAATTAAACCCAGGACCTTGTGCTTGCTAGGCACACACTCTGCCACTGAGCTATACCCGCCCTCTTTGATAAGCATTTTCAATTAGGGTTTTAAAAAAATCGAGACAAGCTTGAATCTAGAGGGACCTTTGCTTAGTCCTTGAAGCAGCCCAAGGTCTCATCATACCAGGAGGGCGATTCTTCCTGTCCCAGCCCGGAGAATTAAGTATTTCATTAACATCAAGGACCATTATATTGTAAAACTTAGAGCCTAAATGCTGACACCAGAAGTAGCAAGTTGGAATGCCTTCAGTGATAAACAGGTCATGCTGATGTCAGACTGGGGTCAGATCAAGCCTCACCTCATTTGCTTCAAACCCAATTAAAAAAAATTATAGTTCTGGCACAAATCAATCAACCAATCAATCGACAAGCAAATCAATGTCTGTGGACCGGAGCCGGTCTCGGGCCAGAGCCGGTCTCGGGCCTGTGGGAAGGATGGCCCCTTCCCAGATCCTGGCCCCAGCTGGCTCCAAGCCTGGGTGTGCTGCCCGGGAGAGGGCAGGCCCTTTGTCAGACCCCTCTGGGATGCTCTCCCATGGTAGGTGCCATTCTAGTGGGGGAGCTTCTCTGGTGTCGTAATGAGAGAGGAAGTCAGCGGGCATCCAGGGATATCTGCAAATTGGAGAGTTTCGGGAATGCTGATTCTGGACTTCATACTGAAATGTAATGTTACCCTCATCCAAACTTTTTTAAAATCCTCCCCCCCTCAGTGAAAGCACTTGAGTACGTTCCGCGCTGAGTGCTGGTGCCACAGTGCCACACTGAGCATGCGCAAGCGTGGTTTCGCTTTTGCCGTCGTTTGTGAGACTAACAAATGTGATGAGAAATCTCTGCTGTGTCTAAGTCTAAAAAAAGGGCTTGTGATAAATACATCATTAAAATCCGAGGTTATAGTAAGTCATCCACCAGCAGCAGAGTTTCCCTTTTGGTGTGACATAAAATAATGGTGGGCGGTAGGACCATTGATTCCGTTCATTCTAATAATCAGTAAATATAAATAAAGCTTATTTAAAAATTTCCTATAAATATATAGTGGACGTTCTAATATTTTCTCTCTAAGCTCAGTGGGTGACCTTGGGCCCCCTGGGAGGGACACTGCATGGTGCTCACAGCCTCAGTTTGGGGACCCCTGCTTGAGGGGCTGAATCAGCCTAACCAAATTCTGTATTGACTTTGTCATTAGAGTCAGTGTGACCATAACAATGGCCTTTGAGTTCATGTATGAGAAAAGACTGCCAATAGGGCCTGGATCCTTCTCTGGGGGCAGCCTGGCCCCTTCCACCAGGGGAAGGTCAACAGTGAAGCTCATTAGAGGCTGACCCCTTCTTCACCTGCAAAGCTGCTTCTCCCGTTGGGAACACCTGTCAGACCCTCAGCTTTCCTGGAGCCACCTCTGGGCCCACATGCTAAGGTTCCTGTTTCGTGGGGTTCCTGGACCCAGGAATGACCATCTCCCACGGTGGGGTGGTGTGGGGAAGGGTGCCCAGGTCTGGAGTGGGCCTGGCCTGGGTCCTGTGCTGAGCGTGACCTCCTGGCCTTTCCCACGGCAGTTACCTATGGACAGATGCAGGGCAGGTCCCTGCTGCAGTGGCTTGTCTTTGTCATCACTCATTAGTTCCTGCCGGTCTATGCACACCACAGCTTCTCACGCACAGAGGGCATCTTCTGAAGGTACCCTAGGGGGCGGAGCTGGGAGGGTTTGTTTAGGGGAAGAGCAGGCTGGCCTGTGCCCAGCGGCCCTGGGGAGAAGGCCCCTGTAAGTTTGGCTCGCCCTTGTCTGCAGGCTTCCCTGCCCAGACCGCCCAACAGCCAGCTCCAGATTTGCTTGTGAGAATCCTCAGTGGGGTTGGTGTCCCTGCCTGTGGGGCTTGTCAGCTTCACCTGTTACTAACCACTCACCACCGGGGACTTTGGCCTGGTCCCACTACCCCAGAGATTCCCACTTAACACCTCTGGGCTGGCGTCCCAGCCATCCAGAAAGCCAGACTCATGGATCCCTGGAGCTCAGAGTGAGACCTGCAGTGGAGGAGCCACACTCCACCCCTGGGGAGAGGGGCACTCCAGGTGGGGCCCAGCCCCCAGTACTGTGCAGCTGCATCCAGTTTTAACTTCCTCTGTGGGGATGCCCGCCAATGCTATAGAGATGAATACTTTCCTCCCTTTTAATAAATGGTCCCTAGTCAAAGCAGTAGTGTTAGGACTAATTGAGGGAAAAGTTGGACCTTCTTTGCAACGAATGAAGGCAAGCAGTTTTATTCGATAACATTTTAAATCAGATCTACCTGTCCCTGCTTGCTAAATGACTTGGCATGGAATTCTCAAAGATCACCTTGGTCAGCTCCTGCGCAAAATGAGAGGAGCTGAAGGGCTGTTTCTTTGCAAGCCTTTAAAATAGTAAACAGATTTTCCAAGTTACACAAACATCCCACTGTTTGCCGACGAAGCCAAAGGGGATGTATGAGCTAGCCTGCCGCTGGGCAAGGTCTAGTGAGGAGGCGCAGGCAGAAAGGGGCTTTTATCAGAGCAGGTGCAAACATCTCTGATTCACTCTTCTTTTCTTTTCTTTCTTTTCTCTTCCTTCCTTCCTTCCTTCCTTCCTTCCTTCCTTCCTTCCTTCCTTCCTTCCTTCCTTCCTTCCTTCCTTCCTTCATTCCTTCCTTTTTTCTGGTGGAGGGGAGAGGTAATTAGGTTTATTTATTTATTATTTTTTATTTAACGGATGGAACTCATGACCTCATGCATGCTAAGCATGCGCTCTGCCACTGAACTACACCCTCTCCAAGCTTCACCCTCTGAAAGCAAGCCTGCCGCAGCGTGTCTTATACACTCTTGGGATTATTTTTCCCCCAGACCTGAAAGACTTCCTGGCCTCCCACGCTAATGCACTAAGCGCGTGGCGCACACGGAGTGTTCTCATCCTCCTGCCCTGCCTCCTCCTGAAATACATCCTCAGCGAGGCGGGAGCCTGCTGACCCGACCTGCGACTCCGCTGCGGCGGGACCCTGCCCGGCCACCCAGCGAGCTGAGCCAGGTGGCGCCACGGGAAGGAGCGAGGGGGCTGCCCGGGCTTGGGCGGCCTCTTTGATTTTCTATGTTGGAAGTAACCGATTTGTTTGATTTCTTATAAACTGGAGCATTAGATGCATATTTGTATCGTTTAATAAACATTTTCAAGAAAGCCTTTCTTGCTTTCCTGGGTACTTCAAGGTAAACAACTTAGATGCGCGGGAGTAAACACTAGAGCCTATTCAACCCTAAGCTCCGATGACTTCGGAGGAGACCAAGCACGGGGCCCCTCCTGCTAGCAGCTCCCTTTTAAGCGCCTCTTGCCACCGGGCAGAGACGGGCAGTAGACACAGCTAGTCTTCACATTGTTCCTTCACTAGTTCACTCAACTAGTCCCTAAGTCCTTGGTGGGAAAGTGGTGGTTCCACATGGGTGTCCCCTGCACTGCTGTGCTTGGAGTCTGGCAAGGAGCAGCTGCCCCAAAATGCTCCCTAGACAGAGAAAGCGAGGCAAGAAGGTGCAGAGAGGGTGGGAGGGATGGAGCTCAGGCTGGAGGCAGGCAGCCAGGCACCCCTCTGCTTTTCCTCCAGCTTCCTCTGCAAACAGCTCAGTTGTGACACCTTTTTCCGGGACAATTAGCACTTCTTGGGATTATCACCAACATCTCCGTAAAAGGAGATCATCTCAGTAGAACTCACTGTAAAGGCAGGCGGGTTGAGGATTTAGCCCAGAGAACTGACAGCGCCAGGCCAGAGGCTAGTCCTCCTCCCCCGGGATCCTGGTCCCCCGCAGCCCGCCAGGCAGCACAGCCTCCCTGCTGCAGGCCAGCCACCGAATCTGAGCCCCAGTCTGAAACCAGCGTGTAAAGAACTTGGGGCAAAGAAAGTGGGCTAAGGGGCTTGCCTTCCCGCCAACCACACAGGGTTAGGAGTCAGATGTTTCTTAACCCCTTCGGTCAAGTCTTTCAGCTCCAGGCTGATTAAACCAATCCTGTTTGGACAGATGCCATAATCAGAAATCAGAGGAGTGAAAACAAGAAGGATATTACAAATAATTCAGGCCAACAAGCCAGTAAGAATCCAATAAGAAGAAATTATGAGTGAGAAAAGGACTCTAGGATAGGCTCTACAGCCTAAATTAAAGTAGCTGATCAACATATTGCTGTTTTATAAGCTTCATAGAGTTTCCTTTACAGTACTCAAGGCTGAGTTCAATGGAAAGGCCATCATAAGATTTACCAGGCATGTGATATAAAACTACATATACTGGAGTGCTTTTGTGGGCAGAAAAGTATCTTTCACTCAACACAGAAATGTCCCTGTCCGGAGAGGGCTGTCTCAGTGCTCAGCTGAGGAGCCTCGACCCTGAATGTGGTTTCGACTCCTCCTGGACACCAGGACACTGCACATGCAGGTGAAGAGAGAGCTCTTGGTGTGAGCACTGAAATGGGAAGTCTGCTATCTTACATGGGCTGCTACACACACATACACACACACATGCACACACTCACCAAGCCAACAAACACGAGGCCCACCATCCGCTGGGGGTGGTGGCACCACCCTTCAAGCATGGGTGGGAGAAAGAAGTGAATGATGCATATATCAGTGACTACCTCCGGCCCCCAGGACACGGTGGGGCACATGGGTGCCAAGCCACCTGGGGGAGGCCACCTCACACAAAGCTGTGCACTTTAGAATGTCCACTTTGAAAGCACACACATAGATGATATTTCTATTGAGCTTTTCAGCTTTTTAAACACACTTTAGTTTATATTGTAATGTGTCTCTGTTAATCCCCTACCCCTAATTTACCCCTCCCTGCCTTTTACCTTTTGGTAACCATAGTTTGTTTTCTATGTCCGTGAGTCTGTTTTAGATTTGTAAATAGACTTTGTATCATTTTTAAAAAGATTTCACATGTACATTAAATCATATATTTGTCTTTCTCTGACTTATTCACTCAATATGATAATCTCTAGGTCCAATTATTATAAAAATCTATATTGTAAATTACTTTAATGTCATTTTCAAACTTTTCCACCATTGGCCATGAAGATAGGAATTCAATGTAATATTCAAATGAGTATTAAAGAAAAAGAGGGTAGAATTCAGTAAAGGGTTGACTTGGACTATGGTTCATGAAAAAATAATTATTCAAGTTTTGGGATATAAATATTTCTGGGTAATAATGACTTCTGATGACACAGTTGTCCTTAAATAGTTTCAGGTACATTCTGAGCAGTACCTTCTATTGCTGCTTGATTATTCTAGAAAAAAGCTAATGATGGACTTGGCAAATTTATCCTAAGAACCTAATGAATATGTTTATGCTATGTGTGGAATGTTTACAAAATGCCTGTGTTAGGCACTTTTATACCAATATGAAGTGTGCTGAAAAACATAGCCAGACAAAAAGATACATTGTCTCATTTTCTTTTTATTGAAGTATAGTCAGTTTACAATGTTATGTCAATTTCTGACATACAGCACAATGTTTCAGTCATCCATATATATATATACACATATTCCTTTTCATATTCTTTTTCATTATAGATTACTGCAAGACATTGAATAAAGTTCCCTGTGCTCTACAGTAGAAACTTGTTGTTTATCTATTTTATATGTAGTAGTTAGTATCTGCAAATCTAGCTACACTTAAGGAAATTGAACTGAGAGGGCTGTTCCACACTTGAGAGGCTACAGTTGTGGTAAGGAGGAAAGCCAAGATGTGTTTATTTATAGTATGAATATCTAAGATATAAATACTCATTTACCTTTTAAATAGAAAATTAAGAACCAGGATTGTGGCTCCTCCTAATAGAATAATTCCCGATTTTAAGCAAGAAAGCCAAATTAACCATTTCATCTACTTATCTATCTATCCATGCACCTAACTAACTAACTAATTGAGAAACCTTGACCTACCTAGCTCTGAAAAGAACAGGAATTGTGAAAAGTTAGCAGCCAGCGTTTTCTGAAGTGCCTGAAGAATTTGAGGATGAAAGTTCTTTTCTTTGTAAAGGACACCCCAGATGTTCAGAGAGATCATTAAAAAGTAGAAACTTTCCAGGAGACAAAAGAGGATTCTGGGCTCCGGTTGGAAGCTTCACATAAATGCGTCACGTATCTTATCTGCCTCCTGCTGTTGAGGAGAGCAGATAGAGACAGCCTTCCCGGACCACTATCTCAGAACTGCCCCCATCCCAGGAATGAGCCTTTTCACACCCTAGGTTTGCTCACTCTGACAGAGAGCGAGGGATCCTCCTTTTGGAGAAAGCAGTAACCAGCTCTCTCCCTTCTGGACTGTTTATAGAAGCCACTCTTTCCCTGCCAGCTTTTGTTCTCACTCAGCCTACCCTGCTGCATCCTAGAAAAGTAGGATTTGTCACCACAGGTCCATGTGTGCTCTCGCTGAGGGACCCACATGGGGACACTGAGAGAAGGCACAGGGAAAACCACGAGGATTTATACCAGTCACGTGGTTTCAATCCCCTGACTGTTCAGACCGTTCAGCCCATCCCTGGGTTGGAGTTTACATCAAAGCCACAGCAAACGCCTGCGGGAGGAGCCCCCTTGTGCCTTTCAGCCACATCACAATTGGCCCCTCTTCTAGCCTGGAAGCAGCTGACCTTTTTTTGGCCAGGAGCACTCAAAACCAGCCTCGGCATGTATTTCCAACTTCTGCCGTCTGCAAAAGCCACTCCGGCACACGCAGCTTTGTATCACACAGGCAACAGGTCCTGTGATGGGCCTTTCCATTAAACTCAGCTTGAACAGTTAAAATTAGGTTCTATAAACTTTATATGCACAGACTTTTCTCCTTTCACCTGGACTGTCTGCTGTTGGGAAAGGACAATGAGGGGCTATGTTTCCTCCAGTTAGAACTGCTGGACGCTCTGCTGATCTCCTGACCAGCAACCAGAGCTCTGCGGGACCCCAGCTAAATATAATCATGAAAGTTCGAAGCCACAGAGATGGCTGAATCCCCAGCAGGGGAACACTGCCAAGCCGAGGGAGGGTGTTGCGCTTGGAAATGTCTGCAGCATCTCCACTGGGGTTTATACAATGATGGGCAACTAAATGTTTAATAATCAGCTCTCTAGAAAAAAATTGTATATAATATATATTATTACTGATAATAAACAGATATATCACTTTATTATAAGTAACGTGGTTTATTATGTGTAAAGCTCATACTGCACAGAGTTTGCAAATAATAATAAAATATATATGCTCTATGTTGTAAATTCCATATAGCAATAAGCTTTTGTTGATTTTTACCAAATTCTACATCTGTACCCAACCTATGATTGTGATTCAACAGTAACTTGACAAATGGTACTGCCTCCTGTCAACAGAAATAATCAATCAACAATCTATAATAGGAAGAGAAAAGAGCTTTATTTGAGCCAAACTGAAGCCTATAACGCAAGAGACAGCCGCTCAGATAACTCTGAGGAACTGCTTCGGAGAAGCATGGCTTTCAGCACAATTTTATATCAAATAAATCAGGGACACATTCCTTCAATATTTCAAAAAATAAACACACAGATCAGCATGTACACAGTGAGTCAGTGTGGCCTTGGCACCTGGCCAGGGAGTCTCATCATCGAAGGAGGACCAGCATTGGTGTCCCAGGAAGGGAGGTATTTAACCCTTATTTTTAGGATGGCCATTTTTTACTTCTAGGCAATGAACCCTTTTCTTTAATAATTAAAGCAGCTGTACAATGTGTTTGATAGGCTACAAACAGACTGTTCCAGTTAGCACAAAATTCAAGTTAACTCATGTATAAGCCACAATGGCTTCCTCATACTTCAATATGTAAAAATTGCTTTAATCAGTCCTAATTCACTGACTCTTTCTCCAACACATGTATTGTCATGAAATCTGATACGTGATCTACTATGAAACTATTTCTCATCCTCATTATGTTAATTCACGGAAATCTCTGAAGTCTGGCACTACACATAGAAGAACTTCATGTCTTTGCTTATGTGAACGACTTCTTTGCCGTTTTAAAACCAGGTAGGGTAAGACCCACAGATGCAGAAATGACTGTCATGGAGGAAGAGGTTTGTACCCACAGTTCCCCAGAAACAGGAGGCATGGAACACCACG